TTTACTTCTATGCCTCGCCTTTTCAAACTAACCCCAATTTGCTGATAAGCCTGATTTAATTTGCTAATTTCTTGGGTTCTTTCGGCTAAAATGCCTAAACTATTATGCTTACATTCCTGAGCGACTTGACTTATTTTTTTAGGGCTAATCCCTTTTTGACAGCAAGCACTAAGGCATTGGTAATAAGCCACCGTGTTTTTTTTCGGTTTAGACTTAGCTGGTTTAGGACTTTTTTGGTTAGCAGTAATCGGAGCCATTAGACTTGGTTCGATACAATTGGGGCAGTAAGTTGACTGTTTAGTTAGTTCTTGTTTATCTTTGGCGACCGAGTAAAGAGTGTTTTGTTGGAATTCCCCTTGACAATTATCACAAGTATAATTCTGTTGCGGATATTGGAATTAATATGATATTTTGCACTAAAGAAAAAAAATGAATAAAGAATTAAAAAGAGGTATTTTGGTGAAAATGGTTATCCTAAAAAAGTTAGGTGCTTTAGACCTAATTACTAAGGAATGATTTTGACTTAAATTCTCAGTTCCCCATCAAAGTCATGTTCGTAAGAATTTTTGATACTACTGAACAGAGAAAGAGAAAGACCGAGAAAAATACATCTGTTCGCCGCACTTACGAAAATTTTACCTTAATGAAAGACAAAAGTTTTTAGCAACTATTAAAAACCTAAAGAAAAGAAATCATCTAAGTTCATATGTGAGTCATAATATTATTTAGAAGATTATTTAGAGTTTTTTTTTCTTTTGGCATCTGATAAAACTCTGGGTTTCTCAACTTTTTTAGGTTTTTTTCTAGGCTCTTCAAACGTTAATGGAGGAGTGTTGAGAGCAATCTTTAGAATCTTATCAAAATCTGATTTTTTTAGTAGTTCATTATATTTAAGGGCACTAATTTTCATATGATTGCAACCACCGCAGTAATTTCTACCCTTTTCATCTTCGTGAGAGAGGAAGAGACAAAAAAACGATCACAACCATCACACAATACCGCACCGCTTCTTTCTAACATACCTAAAACAGGCACTTTATCTTTTCAACTTCGACCTTGGGAATTGGGATTTTTTTATCTCAATGTCGATTAGAATTCGAACCACCTACATAAGTTTCATCTTAAAAAATATTTATGGAGAATAATGTTTGAGAAGAAATCAAAAAGAAAAAAAGCGAGCACTTAGCCAAAGAATTAAAAGTTTTTCTTGGTAAATTAGAGAGAATTAGAAGCAACCGTATTTCCTTAGAAGTGATTAGAGGATTAACTATTGACTATCAAGGGGCAAAAAAGCCAATAAAAACCCTAGCCAATTTGCGGATTTCCCCTAATCATGAATTAATTATTCGCACTTTCGAACCCAAAACCTTACCTTTAATTACCAAAAGTGTTTTAGACAATCAATTAGGATATAAACAAGAAAGAAGCACCAAAGAAGAAG